TCGCATGGCCATCTTGGAACACTGAGCAGGCAGGAGGAATTGAGCGTTAGCTTTTTTAGAGATCAGTATTTTTGTCACTTCTAGAGGGTCTTTGATGGATCCGGTGCCACACTTGCAAGCGCAATTGTCCAAGCAGGTGTTGGACGAACATCACCGAAAAATCAGCGAACAGCAGTTGCAAAGATGGCGAGAGGGAGCAGCGGATAGGCAGCCGCAGCCACCTGCCCAGCAAAAACCAGAGTGCTATGATAAACCTCCCAGAGTGCCATTGATTGACCCTTACGCTCCTGAGACTGCTTATCCTTCAAGCGCAAGCACGCCTGTTGAAGTATATCCACCGCTTCCGCCACAAACGATGCAAACAGGACGGCATGAGCTCCCAGCACCAGCGTCCGCCCAGAGAGCCAATCCTCGAGCGATTCGGGAGCCCGAGGCACCGAGCCGCACAGCCCAGAAGCCGCGGGTTGAGCCTCAAAGTGGGCAGGAAAGGACAGCAGAGCATTCCAGTGCATTAACATCCGCAGCCCCATCACAGCCAAAGCCACAGACAAGCGCACCCAGCATTTCATCAGCCAATGAGAGCTGGTCAGCCAAGCAGCAGCGTCTTAAGAGGGAGCAAAGAGAAGCCAGGCTTGCGGAGAACCTTAGGCAGGAGAACCATGCATCTACATTTACTTATGTACGAAAAGACAAGACAAGTCTTGCCTAGAGCGCTGTGGCGCAGCAGGAGGCGAGCAGCTCGAAAAAGTGGAGAAGCCACGGAAACGCCAACGGAAAGGCTTGTTTCCTTCTGGACTGCGTGTTTGGCTGATGATGAATTCAGACAGAGCACCTTTCAGGTCTGACGAGGATGCTCGCCTTCACACCGCTGTGCCCTGGAAGCTAAAGAGAAAAGTAACGCAGAGAGAAGCAATATCACTGGTCACGATTTCGTCAAAACTCATCGGCTTTCATTTACGAATATTACGAAAGCCAGCCGATAGGCTAGGCTGGAGTTGTCGATGGGCGAACGAAGTGGTTTACCGGTAGGGCGAACCCAGATCCTGGTGGGGGAGAGCGAAAATATGTGGTCCGAAAAGCAGTGAAAATGTATTGTTTTTTTGGTGTTGTGATGCAAGTGATGTAGTTGACGCCAAGAGTGCATCATTAGCATCATGAGGGGCTCAGGATGCTAATTGGACAGTCTTTCGACAGGGGGTGGGGGGACAGGAGACGGAAAACAAGGTGACAGGAAAAGCAGTCAGAAATCCACCAAGAAAGTGAGATGCGCGTCTCTCAACACTTTGCTATAGGAGTGGGAGGGAATGTTAGAAACGATGTCACCCGTTGAGGACCGGAGAGGGGACAGTATGCAGTGGGCAATTTTTGACCTGCTTGGGGGTGCCCCTTTGAATGTCCTACTAACCCGGTCCGTCATTTCATTTCTCTTTTCTCTATTATGCCCGGTCCGTCACTTGACTTCTCTATTAGACCTGGTCCGTCATTTTACTTCTCTATTAAACCCGGTCCGTCGCTTCATTTCTCTACTCAAGCCCGGTCCGTCATTTCATTTCTCTACTAAACCCGGTTGGTCTTTTCATTTCTCCCGGTACCAGGCTTCAGCCTCACTTGCACTTCGCGCCGCGGGCACAAGTGAGGAACCAACAGCACAAATGCTATGGTGACTTCGCTCCGAGAGGGTCACTCGCGCTTCGCGCCGCAGGCACGAAGCACAAGTGGCCAGAAACAGGTGAGCGACCACCGAAAATCACGGAGCCAACTGCGATCGGGAGTTGCAGAGGCAGGAGAGGGCAGAAAACAACGGATAAAAGTCATCAAAGAGCTTCTCAAGCCTCAACGTTGAGCTCTCAAAAGAATATCTATACCGACGGACTGGAACTTAGAACGTGGCTTCCGTTTCCAAAAAATTAGCAGCGAGAGTTAGCAGCTCTTGGACCCGGGTGACCAAGACCCAAAGTAAGAATGTGGTTACGGACATGTGCAAAAGACTACAGGATGATCACAAAAGTTCAAATACCATGTAAACACAAGAAAAGAGCACAATCACTTTCATCTTCCTTTCATTTTGCATTGCTGTAATTTCTTTTCATGTTCTTTTGCATTGATCTCCTTTCATGTTCCTTTCATTCTGCAGTAATTTCCTTTCATTGTCCTTTCATGTTTCAATCATTTCTTTTTATGTTCCCTTCACTTTGCACTGATTTCCTTTCATGTTCCTTTCATTGTGCATTCATTTCCTTTCATGCTCCTTTCACTTTTCATTCATGTTCCCTTCATTTTGCATTCATTTCCGTTCATGTTCTCTTCATTTTGTAGTCGTTTCCATTCATTTTCTTTCCTTTCGCATTGTCCCTTCATGCCCCTTTCGTTTTGCATTCATGTCCTTTCATTTAGCATCCATGTTTTTCATGTTCCTTTCATTTTGCATTCATGTCCCTTCATGTTCCTGTCATGTTGCACTCACGTCCTTTCATTTTTCCATCATGTTGCACTCGTTTCTTTTCATTGTCCTTTCATGCTCCTTTCGTTTTGCATTCATGTCCTGTCATTTTCCTCCCCTTTTGCGTTCATGTCCTTTCATGTTCCTGTCATTTTGCATACATTTCCTTTCATTTTCCTTTTCATATTGCATTCAGTTCCTTTCATGTTCCTTGCATGTTGCATTTGTTTCCCTTCATTTTACATTAGTGTCGTTTCATGTTCTTTTCATTTTACCTTCATGTCCTTTCATTTTCCTTTCTTTGGGCATTCATGCCCCGTGGTTTTCCCATCATTTTGCGCTGCTTTCCTTTCACTTTCCTTTCGTTATGATGCATGTCCTTTCATGCTCTCTTCATTTTGCATTCATGTCCTCTCATTTGCTTTCCATTTTTGATTCAGGTCCTTTCATTTTCCGTTCAGCTTGCATTCATGTTAATGTTCTCTTCACTTTGCATGTATTTCCAGTATTGGTCCCTTCACTTTGCATTCATGTCCTTTCATGTTCCTTACTATTTGTATTCATTTACTTTCATGTTCCTTTCAATTTGCATTTGTTTCGTTTCATGTTCCTTCATTTAGCATTCATGTCCTTTCACTTTCCATTCATTTTGCATGCATGTCCTTTCATTATCTGTTCATTTTGCATTCATGCCCTCTCATTTTCTTGACGTTTTGCCGTAATTTCCTTTCGTGTTCGTTTCATTTTGCATTCACTTCCTGTCATGTTCCTTTCATTTTACATCAATTTCCTCTCATTTCCTTTCGGTTTCCTTCAAGAGGTGCTATGCTCAAACCGGTCCTCCTGTGTTGCTGAACCATGAAGAGACGCATTCTAAAAGGTTTTCTGCCCATTCTAACACTGAATGTTTGAATATAGGGTTTAAGTGGGGTCATATGGCATCCACCGTTTCCAAAAACACATTCTATCTTCCAGTCCGTCGGTATAAAAACGTCCAAAAATGCAACCCTGCCCATGAAAGTGACGACGCAAGTGGACAAGCCCCTATGTTTCTAATGGAAAGGCGCTTGGCCTTCGCTCAGCTCAACGTTTTCCTAGCGCATGGGCGCCACTTCTATCCTATAACCGCTAATGGGCCTTGATCGAAACCTTGTGTATACAGAGCCTGTCATATCGTCCCTCAATGCGAGACTTTCCGCCTCTGCCTCCTATTTCCCCATGTGCCGTGCGCTGTCGGATTCACTCCATAACCACATTGATGTCTTCTTACGGAGGCTGGCTTTCGTCCCCTCTTGTCTCAGGTTTGTAATAAGTTTTGGCTTTGGGCAGTGGTCCGGGCTAAGGCGAATTTACAAGATCCTCAATCTTATGCCAGCCCAAAAGCTGAGGAAAAGGCGCGAACCGATCCAAAGACAATAGTCATGATGCACACGCGGTTTTTGTATATGTCTGCGTCAGCAGTTTAAGCTCATTGCGGGGCAATTGAAGGATGCCCTTTGGTAAATGCGAACTTCTGGGAACGCCGTACGCCATACAGAAAGAAGGTCCAGACCCCTTTAATAAGGGCGGTCAACGGGTCAACACGGTTTTCCTTAGTATAATCTTTTTGATTGCTGCTTCGGTTCCAGGTCCTTTTTCATTGTTAAGCGTAGATTCTCGTTGCCCGCATCATGTCCTTATGCCTTGGCAGGATGCGAGCTCCAAATTGAATGGGGCGCCTATACCTGTTAAGAGCGAACCTCTCCGGAAGAAAGAAAGGAAGAATCCATTTGATGAGCGTCAAGATGAGTTGCTTGGTAGCAAAACACGGTAACAAATGCCTTTCAATAATCAAATTGCAGTTTTGAAGCAAGACAAACGGTAGGCCAAGTAGGCCCTAGAGAAAGAGTTCTTGCAAGTAGGAGCAAGGGCAAGGCGGTTGATCAAAGCATTTGAGCAGCTACATCGTATACCAGATCATGATTTGGCAATTTTGTTTGCACCGAAGCATGGTAAGGACAACTTTTGGCTTAGAACAGCAGGAAGAACCAGACCAGTTTGAAGGCGAAGCGCATCGAGTGCGGTCGAAGCTTTGGAGTGGTTCATTGGGCGTTGTTGGGTACAATGGTGCTGCTCGTATTGCAAATGCTCTACCAAAAACCTGCCGGAGCGCTCTTTCAAAGGGATCAGCAAACAATGGTCTAACTTTTCCAGGTTATGTGGGTGGGTTTGAAGCTTCAACCTTTGCCGCAGGTGTACCGCTGCGTGTGCTGCGCAACAAGCAACCGCTGAGTGGTTCCGGGCTTTTGGCATGGGGCAGAGGTCGATAGGAGAGATATTCATACCACCCTTGATAGATCTATGGAAGTCAGCCGGTTCTCCTCCGACACTGCTCTCTTTCAGTGTGTTAGCTTGCGGCGCAGCTTGGCGATTCTGAAGCACTTCAGGCGCAGGACGCGCAAATGGGAAACAATGGCAACAATGTTGAAAAAGATTTTGCACCCAGCTGATATGGATCAGCGCGTGACATTATGGCAACTTGTTTGTCCTGTGCTGTCATTGACATTTGTTTGGCTGCCAGCATGGAGCTGCGCCAGTTGCGCATTGCCGCCAGTGAAGAGGTCCATCCGGCACAGCCAGCATCAGATATTACTCCAAAGATATAAAAGCTGATTTGGAAACCAAAGAGCATGTGGACATTCCTTGATTCTCAAACCTTCTCATCGCTGTGCCAGGTTGCTGCACGTGAAAAAGCCGAAGAGGCACGCTGACTTGCACCTAGATCAGTGAGTGAGCGCTGTTCTAAAAGGCAGGAACTTGAGCAGGGATAGAGGGCAGCATCGTGCCATCATGTAAACGCAGTCTTGGGACTAAGGAATTCACATGTTGGAATGGCCAAGATATGCCGAAAGAATCCGAAAAAGTATAGTTGCTTGTGTGAACCTCTATTGGTGAGCCTGAAATCAGCTGAAAGCTTGTGATCCGCAGGCTTTGCTGCAACTGTGTGCAGATTTTGGCAGTACCTTACGCCCCTTGCTTGGGTTCAGAGATTGCTCAATGCAAAATCAACAAGACCCGTAGCAGAATTGGAGAGCACGTGCTGCAGGTGCAGACGTTGAACTAGAACAATGCGCAAGCTGCGATGCAGAGGTTGGACGTGGAGCTCCAAAACGGGAGAGCAGGTCCAGGAAGAAAGACAACTCTGAGCAACAAGTTCCCAAGCCATTGAGGATTCAGATTCGCAACCCTGATCCTATAGAGGATCCTTTTGCCAATCCCGTTCTCATTTGACTGTGTGCCATGGTGGTGAAAAGACTTTGTTGAGCGCGCCGTTTCAACCTGTTTGCTGCGAGGGTTCAGCGAAACCCGTTGTCTGGATGTTTTCCCCTCCTTCCTCGATGACGATGACAGGGAGAGCTTGTGGGACCCTCCAGGAGAGACCACTGGGGCCGTTGACTTTGAGCATGGCTATGAGCCCAAACACCCTTGAGCCTGAGCAGGTGTTTGAGGATTATTAATGCCTCACTTTGCTTTATTTGCAATGCAGTTGTTGAAGCAAAGTTCTGCAGGGTGACCCATTGCTGGACATGCACCCACTGCCTTGGTAACGAGGACCATGGCTATAGTTAATATAAAACTATGCCATCTATACGGCGCCCTCTATATATATATATATTATACGCCGATTATGCGGAGACTGGAAGTCGCCAGTCCCGAAGGCAGAAGAAGAGACCTGCATTAGAGGCTTTTAAGCAGCTGCCACGTTGACATCTTTGGTTATGTGACTCACCCGAAGGGCAACGTTTTGCACAAGACGAACATGTGGCTAAGACACCGTCAATCCGTTGGCCGAACCCGAGGGGGCACCAAGATCTTGGGGGCTCTGCATTCCAAGCGTTTGGACGGCTCTCAAGAGAGCAGCCAAGACGAGTGGAGTTCCATGCTTGGATACATCCAAGCCAGGCATGGAATGGCGTGGAGGAGCGCCACCTACGCCACTATATGAGAAGGACAATGTTCGAGCACGGTGGAAATCTGGATGTTGCAAGCAGCCCTTTCATGGAGACGGCCCTCTCCCTACACATGCAGTCGCAGGGAGAACTGGAAGGAGCTCGACACATGCCGCTTCCACAGATCCACCGTGAAGACGGAATCAACATGTTCATTTCCGCCCCTCGACAAATTTGAAGTGCTTCACCAACACAGGCGGGACCATGCGCAACTGCATCCCCCGCACCCGGGACACAGCGTTTGAAGGCTGTGGGCATAGAGATGGGCAGGGTTTGACCAGGAGGCCCTCGCTTCCAGACTCTTGGACACGAGCAATTATCAAGACAAATTTAGAGGAAATTGGCGACCCATCAACTACCCCAGCCAAGCCAAAGCAGTTGCGGCCTCCACTCCAGAGACGCATGCGGACTCAGAACCGGGGGAGCTCAGCGAGCAAACCCCTGTATAGCATGATGGTTGCAGGATACAACTGCCAACTTGGCGAAACGGGTCTTCAATGGACAGCATGAGTTGCAGATGCAAGCACAACCTTCCTCCAGGGCTCACAACCAGACGGCAAACGCCCAACGCCGTTGTTTCTGAGCCGCTTGCACGGCGCGCGGAAAAATCTATGGCTTACATGAGCGACAAGCCATACCTTTGGCGCATGAAAATCGTGAGTCGCCTCACCGCCCGGGGTTCCAGAGACACAGATACGACCCTATGCTCTCCCTGAAGCACGATGACCATGCGATGACCAAAATATCAAAAAACGATTCCAGTCAGTCACGCACGTTCACGCTTCGCTGGTTCACGCCAGTGCCGGAATGACCGTTCAGCGGAAAGACAAAAAGTCACGTACGTCCACGTTGACGACATCATTGTCGGCGTGGTAAAAGCAGCCGACTACAACTTGGCTGAAGTATGCTGAAGTCACACCCCTCTTCAAATCTCAGGAGGGCAAAAACAGGTCCAGGGAGAAGAATTCACCCTGACCACGCAGGGGCGTGCAGTCTGCTTCGTCGACTTCCTGAAACAAAATTCCTGGCCGAGGCTTGCTTGTCGCCAACACGCCAGTGAACAAAGGAAGCATGCTGGTGACCTGCACAGCTGCCAGCTTCGCCAACGAAGCGCGCCTCTTTGCAACGCACCTGCACACAGAGCCGGTCGCGCCATCAACGAAGCCCCCGACATCATGGACAAGAGATCTCTCATCAACATCCGCGCAGCCTGATGTACGCTGACGGCCTCACCAATTACAATTACGATGTCAAGCTGGGAAGCCTTTTCAATGCGGCTTGAAAGACTGACTTCAACCCCGAAGGATCAACCAAATAGGACCAGTGAGCAGTTTGAGCAACACGTTCCCAAACCATTGAGAATTCTGATTGGAACGGTGTTTTCATTTGACTCTGCGCCATGACGGTGAAAAGACTTTGTTGAGCGCGCCGTTTCTTTTTTTCGCTGCGAGGGCTCAGCGAAACCCATTGCAGATTAGGGATTGGATAAGAGCCTTGTGAGCGTGCAGTTTCGTGCTTGTTCGAATCAAGTCGTTCTTGCAGTCGCCTGCGTTCACTCCAGGACGCGATAATAAGATTACTGAATATGATTCGTGAACATGTGACAAAACACCGTCGTCATCTCAAGAAAGAGTTGCAACCAAACTTTTCACCAACTTGACCTTCACTGTACTTGCTTCACTTTCCCACGCCCTTTCGATGCCAGCGTCTCGTTTTTGAACTTGTTCCACTTTCCTTCTCTCATTCTCGTTTTCTGGCTCCTCCACCTGGCTATCCTTGCTGCGTTTCTTTTTGGCTTTTCTGAGCCTTCCTGTGCTTTCTCGAGTGGTTATCCGCTTAGCCTGCTAGGGGCAAAGCACCAAAAGAACGAGGTCCGAAGAAACACTCTTTCAAGAGCCTTGGGCGTCTATTTCGCAAACAAATACATATTTCCCTAATAAATTTTCAATACAACAGAATATGAACAGAAAACATAAGGTAAATATAGTTTGCGTTCTTTAGTTTGTTTTAGTTGCTTTTTAGTTGAAATGTTCCATAGCTAAACAATGTGTTAGATGAAGACTTTAGATTTCTATATATATATATATTAGTATTTTCTAAATGATATTTGACAATAATGTGCATTTGTAAAGCTATTTAAGGACATGTAGGTTGATGAAACCATTTAGTTGTTGTAGCTTTCTTGTGGTTAAGGACGGGTGATGTTGATTATTGTTGTTTTGACCCTAACGTGAATGTGTTCTAGCGATTAAAAAACTACTACTTAGTGAGAAGTTTGTTGTTTGTTAATGGAAACGAAATTTGCTTAACATATTGTACCACTTCGTGAAGGTTAGGTCGGTAGGTAAATCAAGATGTGGGATTCAAGGAGTTTTTGGTGCAACCGCATGGTGATAATTTAACTATCTATAGATATTGAGCTGGAGGGGTGGCATGCGCTTAACACAGGGGATGCGGATGGATCCCTTTCAAGCTATAGCGGTTCTTTGAGTTCGCGAGGGCATGAATAAGGCCCTTTGAGCCTTTAAGTGGAATTGTAATTGGAGTTGGCCTACCACCAATGAGCCCAGTGAGCCGAAAATGAACACATATGTCGATCAATAATCGTCGGCCAATTACCACTAGCAATTGCGCTAGCCTCTAGGAGAGCTAGAAACTCAGGTAACTGAGCAATTTTCATCCATTCTAACCACCAATAGACCTCCACCGGATCCATCGCTAGGACCTCCGCAAAGCCATCCATGAACTGCAAGACCTCCACCACCGCCTTGGCCTTGATGGCCATCAGCTCTAAAGCCTCTGAAGCCACCCTCCACAAGAAGTTGCGCCGAACCAGCAGCTCCGTTGTTATCGGCAGTGGCTGCAATCGGAGCCTGTGGACTGACTGAGACATTGGGCCGTTTGTTTGGCGCGTTTCCAATTCCAGCTAGTGACGCTAGTGATGAGGGTCGAAAAATGGGGACAAGTCGCTTTGTTGAAGGCTTTGCCAGGTACGCGAACTGATTTTATGCGTTAATTTGGCTTTGAACGTGTTAAAATTAGTTTTTAGGTGTTGTTTAAAATTTTGTGACGCGCTTTTTTTGGAATGTGGAAGGAATTGTAAAAATTTCGTGGAAGTGGAGTATGATAAGAATATGTTTGTATATGTTTTAGTTGTTTGTATTATTTTTGTGTTTTGTCGTGATTGAAAAATTGAAACTCCTTGTATATTTTTGCATTTGTATTTATAGGATGTTATTTTTTTAATGAATTGAGTTGATTCGTCTGGGAGGAATACATCAGGAAAGGTAGTTTGAGCTACTTGAGTTCTCTTTGCTTTAGCAACATAGGAGTTGGGATTGTGCATTGAGTTTGGTCTTGTAAGAGATGATTCTGTTCGTCGGGGGGGCTAATGGTGGAGGCCAATGGTGTTTTGTTGTTGCTTTGGTGTTTTGGTGTTGCTGCTGCCGCCGTTGCAACTGGTATTGGTATTATTTTCTATTTTGTTGTTGGCTGCTTCTTCTTATGCAAAACCTTCTAAACTCCACCTTTCGTCCCCCTTCGTCGCCAAATATTTTTAAAAAATATCAGTAAGAATATAGATAGATTTTTTAAAATTATCGTATATTTAAATATGGAATACAAAATAAAAATGTGTTTTTTTCAATATTTGTTATTAAATAATATTGTCCGATAATGAAATTGTTTAAATTTTTAGAAATTAGAATAATTGATTTATTGACTTAATAAATTGAATTACAAAATATTTTCATATCATATGTTAATATTTTTTGAATTATATATATATTTATATTATATATATATTTAATGTTATATATAGTGTTTTAAATATTTTTTGTAATTTAAATTTTCTAATTAAATATATACGGTACCGTTAATTTGGTGTATTTTTTGTTATTATCTTAATAATAGTTAATGTATTTTTGATATTATATTTGTTCTTTATATATATACGTTTTTAAAGAAAAAATATTGATTGATATATGTTTTGATGTTTTTTTGGTTATATCTTGTGAAATTTATTTTGATATTTTTTTTAGAATATGTATTGATGTTTTTTTGATATTTTATTTAAGGTCTATTTTTCGGCGGGCGAATTGTTGCAAATATTTTTGTTATTTAGAAGTATTTATTGAAATTTTATTTATACGATTTTTGAAATAATTTCTATATTTTTTATATTTTTTTATATCTATTTTTTAATTGTCTATATTATTTTCGATATATTTCTTTATATTATATTTAATATTATGTTTTGTATTTTTTCGGATATTTTTTTAATTGTATTTTTTGTGATTTTTAATCTTTTGATTTTAAAAAAATATATATATATTTATGGTATATTTTTAAATATAAATTTAATATTGGATTTAATATTATTTTGTTATTTTTTTCGTTTTATATAACATATTTCTTAATTTATGATGAAGATTTGGTATAAAATTCATATTGGTATGGGAATTTTAAGGTCCGGCGGGTATTGTCGTCGCGAATAAACGATTAAGGTCCGGCAGGTGATCGATGGATTAGTGGATATTTATATGTTATTTTAGAAAAGTTTTTTAGATTAATATTAATTAATTGTTATATATAAAATATCTTGGTAAGGACTACCTTGAATTTGTTTTGCGAAGCAAAGGGATTGGCTTTGAGAGCTTGCTCGGAACTAAAGATTGGTAGATTAATGTTAAATACCCCTATCCCCCCCCTCTTATGTGATGAATGATTGATAAATTAATTGATTCGACCTCTTCCCTTGTGTTTAGTAGGGTTTTAGGTCCTCCTAGGCGTGTCTACGCTATACGTGTGTAGTACCTATTTTTATATATAGATTAGTTTGTAGCTCTTTAGTTCGTTTTCGATTTAATTCATTTGGTTTAAAACTTAGTAGCCCAATATTTGCATTCGTAGCTATTGAAAAGGATGTGTATCGTTGCCGCTCGCGTACCGAACGCATTCGTATGACTTCATTTGGTGTTTCGATTAGGTCCAGTTATTTAATTGCCACTTCTGGGGGAATTTATCCCTTAAAGTGGTAGCGGAGCTGTCCTCACCATCCTTGACTAGATTTTTGTTTCGGCGAACAAGAAGCGCGAGCCGAGCAAGCGCATCACCTATAACTGGGAGGTCTTAACCCTCGCCAGCGAGTAGCTCGCCACTTTGGAAGGTTTGGATGCCGATTGCGACTGCTTATTGCAGATCGCCTTAAATTACGGCAAGGACATGTATACGTTGCGATTAAGGACATCCGATATTCCGAATGATCGTATACGTGTCGGATATGAGCAGCTTCCACGCTAGAAAGAGATTACCATTAAGGTTAACTAACTCCTTAAGCATTTGAATTATTTAGATCTGTGTCTGAAGAGTAGCGATTTGGGTTACTACTACCCATTCCAGTGCAATTTTTCACTTGCCAGCCGACACAAGATCAGAGTTCGTGGCCAGCAATCCGCCGAGAAACGTGGCGAGAAGAATGCCGAGCGGCTTGAACGTTTGAAGGAACGATTTCGGCAGAATATACAAGCTCGCCAAGCTGGCTGGGACCAGTCCTGGTCCTCGGGAGCGTCAAGTTCATGGTGGTATAGCGGTTCTTCTTCGTCATCTTGGAACCCCGGTTACCGAGGATATAGGAATTGGTAGGTAGTCCCTAAAAAGCCGATATGTCGGCTTGAGCACCGCCAAGGCAAGTAGTCTTTGAAAGGCCGATATTCCGGTCGATTACAATTAAATGCCACAAAGATAAATGCAATTTAAAAGACCCAAATATTTTTTTTGTCAAGCGAAATGCAGTCCAAAGTAGCTGCCAGTGGGACTACACGTCAGCAGTGTTCGAGTGAACTCTCCTATTTCGGGGAAAAATAATTTGATCCCAATTATTACGATTGCGAGCTACAGGTACCAAACAATTCCAAATTCTTGTGGTATTTTGCCAGTCATTAAGGGAGGGACCGAAATATCGTTGAACTGTAGCTGTAGTGGCGGTTTCGTAAATAGGGTGGTGCACTTCTTGTGTGGAGAGAACGGCTGCTTGCTGGAGTTGCAGATAGTGATATCGATGGTAGGCTTCGGATAGGGCTATCTCTTGCCAATGAACTCTAGGACGGCCAGGCCGAAAGGGAGAAGAGATCGTGCGCAGGGAGTGGGAGGGATTGAATGAAATTTGGTGCTCTAAGGTATCGTAATGTCGGAGGATGTGGCCAAGGTACCGTAAACGTTGCACAGAAATGCGTTGACTGGGAATCAGAAGGCGGGGCGCATGAGCGTAGGCTAATTGCAGGAGATAAGCATTAGAACATTCTTCACTGGAAGGAGCAACGACTCTGTGATAATAAGAGCTTTTGACTTGAAAGATTTGGCGGAGAACTTTATAATGAAGGGCATTAAATTTCGTGATTTGGGCAGGGGTATACACCTGCGATTCACATCCATACAGGAGGATAGCCATGACAATCTGCGAGTAGATTTGCAAACGCCGCCGGATAGGGAGGGTGGAGTTTGTGAAAACCGGGAAAAGAGATCGGAAAGCGCTAGAGGCCTGGGAGTACCGAAAGTTATAGTCGGCGAAAGAAGAACCATTGGC